TCCAAAGTGTCAGAAGCCTGGTGGCAGACGCTCCCGGTGAATTTGTTAGCAGGGAAAACATCAACCATGCTGCTCAGTATGGCTTTCAGAGTGAAGATTCATGCACAATCAACTTGCCGGCTGCCTGATACTACCGTGACCCTAGCCTGGTCAACAGAAAACCAGTACATGTTATTTTTATCGGCCTAGGTAAAGCATCTGACGGCATCTCACCAGCTGTCATACTCCGCAGGATCACGTCAGCCGGGGTGGGCTGGCCTGCGCTCTCTCGGTCCAAAGCCCGCACAGAAGTTTTGCGCCGCATCAAGTACAATATGGTTGGAATGGAGACCAAGGACATCAGAGACATCCCATGAATCAATCCTGGAGTTAGTCCCCTTCCTTCTGTTCTCCAGCTATTTGTCTACCAGACTTCCTCACCATACTCCTTTTCGATCCTGACATAAAAATTTGGAGAGTTGTTTCAGCTTCAACCTGGAAGAGTGCAAAGCAATGCACATCAGTACCCACGAATCAAGGAGGTCGAACTCCAATGTAAGTTGAGCAACCATGCCCTCACCTAAGTGTCCAGAGAAAGGGGCTTGAGGCTGAACTTCTCCGACATTCTGAACACCAAATCTCACTACAAAGGAATGGTAGCCAAAGTGAACGCCACGTTATGCTTTTTTTCGTAGACAGCTTGGTGGTCATACCTCTGAACTGTTTCTCACGGTTTTCAAAGATTACAAACCCTGCGCCTGAAAGTCTTGAGAATGTGAACACCCTGAACACTCAAGAGATACTCCAGTCTCTCTAGGACAATACGGAGATTCACAACGAAACCACTTATGGGACTGAGGGGAAGGATTACTCTGGGAGACATCCAAACCTACCCACTTCGGACCATCACAGAAAGAGGGTTAGCCTTGTTCTAGCATTCAAGATCATCCAGCAGGCAGGTGGGGCAAACAAACTAGCCTTGCCTGCAACACAGAAGTCAGCACGGGGAAAACCCACCCGGGCACCGCATCAGGGACCCAACGCCAGGCTCAGGTCAAACATTTTATCCTCTGCAGCATGCGCTTTATGGAATGTCTTACTGCGAGATTTGGTCAGCCTCCCCAGTTAACTCATTCAAAAGACGGATGGGCTGTTACATTAGTTCGTATGGTTTACCGACTTCCCTGGCGGGCCACTGCTTCCCTCCTATTCATCACCCAGCATCTCTTTTTTTGATACGCCTGCATTATCTACTAATTCATCTCCATTAACTAGACCCATACCATATGCTCTTACCTTTCATTTAAGTCCCTATCTCGCTATTCCCATCTAGTCATTTATTCGGAGAGGATTTAGGAAGGCCCCCAATCTTCCCAACAACTCATAGTTCTCTAACCAACCCATTCTACAAATTACAATTGCCAACCCACGAAACTATCCATCACACCGTGGCTAGAAGCAGGAAAACAGAAGGAGTTTCCTTGTCCACTACGGCAACAGACCCGAAAACAAAGGTCAGGCTTCAAGGGCCAGACGCGTAGGGTCAAAAACTGCTGGGTTCCTTTGCTTGAACAACCGATGCTGGGTGCTTAAACGGCCAGTCGCTAGGGCCTATGCGAGTGATTAGGTGTATGTTTTGCCCTGGAATACATCACAAACCTATGACCATCACAGAAGACGAAATAGGAAGAGCAAATGTCATATGGTTTATACAAGATCAAAATAAGATTGACGAACATTCGGTGGACACTAATTCCAAAGCTTTGAGCAGACAAACTGAAAAGACTTCACTGACCATCGATGGAATATAAAAGAAAGAAAGGAACCAGGCCCCAAGAACTATACGGGAGAGAACAGAAGCTATCAGTTTAGTTCCCTTGCAGTGTCGATGTTGGACTTTGATTGTTGGACAAGAAACTGGCTGCGCAGAAATATCTTCTATCTTCCTTCTACAACTAGTCCGAACAATTAACTTGTGACACGACATTTAAGGAACTGGGTTATCCTTGAGTAGTGACGTGTTTCGCTCGTCTCTCAGCTTTTGGATTTTTCCACAATGAAAAACTCCCACTTTCAATACTCAATCTAAAAACATAGAACGTTTGCAGCACTTCTGTCCGTCCACGCACCTCACCCCTGCGCATTCGTCAGCTCACTCCTCAACAGTTGAAAATTGGCATTATTATTCCTTTGAACCAACCGGTCTACCTCCTGTCAGTGGTTCTTGGGCGTTTCAGCTGCCAAACTGCCTTAGCTCTCGGTTCTCCTCGGAGGTCATTCCCCAGGAAATATCTTCCTGGTTATACATACGCATCTGGAGCTTACGGTTAAACTCGTTGGTCAAGAGCAGAGGATCAAGTGACAAGTGTCTGAAGGTGAGCCAACATAAATTATCTTCCCTTTTCTATTCTGTCCTTTTGCTGCATTCAGTCTTCAACCCTCTTATTGTTGTTAACTACTTGTTTTCCCAAGAAGTTTATATCATAGCGACATGTCTGCCCAAAACGCTAGGTCTGAAGCTTTGACACGGATAACGCGGTCGTGCACAACAACGGCCAGTAACACCCTAAACAACACACTAGTCTGTACTAGAAGACAAACAGAGGTAGGGCAGAACATCGAACTTCTGAAGAAGTGGCCAACCCATGTTTCTAGAATTCCAGTAGCCATCAGACAGGTGACACAGAGTAGCACTAGCCCGTCACAAACTAGTCCTATCTTGAGCAAGGATCATACCATGCCTGAACATAGAAGACGACGTAAAAGGCTTCAGAACAAGGCAGCCACAAGCAGTTCGCCACAATCCGTAGCACCTTATTCATGGAAGGAAGGCTGTATTACGACACCCGATGGCTGCAGTGTTTGCACCAAAGTTGTTTCGGTAGTCGATGAGGCATTTGCATGCAACCTGTGTCAACGATGGGTGCATTGCCACTGCGATACCAAAGTCCCCCGACAATACTATAAGCTGATGAAGAGACAACCATGCAAGTGGTTCTGGTACATCTGTCCAGAGTGCAGGAAAATGCCCGCACTCCGCACAGAAAGCCTGAAGGAGATGCTCTCCGCCACGCAAAAGCTACCAGCATCCTCGAATAAGGTAGGGTTAACACCAAAGGATAACACAGAGAGACCTGGAAACAGACCTAGAGCTCCAGCTGTGGGCACGCCATCTCGCGTGGGGACCATATTAGGTCAAGTCTCCATACCCCCACCCGGCCCCAGGGGACGTCAAGCGCATGGCCAAAGACATCGACCGCCGAAGCCTCTACGAAACCCATTCCGAACACCCCACACACCGTGACTGAGAAACAACCAGTGGAATTACTCAAACCCATTGGGAAGTCGGGCGTGCCACCCACAACGAACCCAGGTCACAGGAGGACCAACTCGATCATTTTGTTCAACGTCGATGTATCGACAGACTCATTGTTGGTCGAGAGGGAACAATTTGACAGCCGAATGTGGACCGACTACTGTCAGATGCTGGGACTCCCTCCCCTCCCTGCAACTTTGTGTCGCCTTTCTCGAGGAAGCCATGCACCCCGAGATAAGCCCCCCCTTTACGTGTGTCCCTAAATACCGCCAAAGAGGCTGAAGACACACTCCTCCTCTCGCGACAACCGGACGTTGTTAATGCCTGTAAAATTCGGGCCAGGCCTGACAAGCCATGGTCAGTAAGAGAGGAGGAGAGAAAGTCAGCGGTTGGAAATCCCAACAGAAACAACACTATAGTTGTACATGGGATTCCAGAATTGCCAAGTGACAGCTCGGTCAAAGATCGGTACTTTCACGACGTCCAACAATGGCAATGGCTCTCAACCAAAGTTGGTCTCAACAGTATACCGGCCAACAGCGTCAGTAGACTGCCAAGGCCAGCGCACCTGAAGACCATACCCAATCCCAGACTACTTGCCGTCCAGTTCGACTCATATGCCTCCCTCACAGACGTTCTGCACGCATGGTATAATGCGAAAGATCGCATGGGTGGCTCAATACGTATATGTGAAAGTAAGCCTAGACCCACAAGGCAAGAGGAGAGACGGCAACCACCAAGACCTCTGGAGTCAGTGGTCGTCACACAGGCGCTGACCAGTGAGTTAGATACATCAAGTAAAGAAGCCACCACTGCTACAGCCCCCACCCAAGTTAAGAACAAAACACAAAAAAACGGAACAATGCCAGTCCTATGAGGACTGGCGAGGCTAAATTCAACCACGTAAGCGCTCATCCTGCGAAAATACACATCCAGACCTCCCCCTCATCAGGTACACTCTAATATGTATGTACAGCAACGTTAGGGGGCTAATAGGGAAGGTAGCAAAAATGAGGACGCTGCGTGAACATCAGCACTCCGACATCATATTCATCACCGAATCCTGGCTCTCATCGGACATCTCCGACGAAGAGATGCGTGTTGCTGGCATGGAACTCTTCCGCAGGGACAGGGAACATAGAGCAGGAGGGGGAGTGGCTATCTACGTAAACTCCTGTTTAAAGGCAAGGATGGTTAGCGATACGGCCTTAACCCAGCTCCCAGAGTCTCTATGGTGCTACTTCACTCTCTTCTTTATTCTCTCTTCATTCCTTTACCACTACCTTACTATTCTCTTCCAGGTACCTACACAGACAGGAGTCATGGCAGTTCTCTAAACTTCCCAGCAACCCGTAGCTCCCTAATCACTCTACAAATTACAACCTACTAACCCACAAAACATCCACCTCACCGAAGCTAAAAGCAAGAAAGCAGAGGGGATTTCCTCGTCCACTGCAGGAGTAAACCGAACAACTGGAACCAAGCCCTAAGAACTAGACGCGAGAGATCAAAAACTACTAGTTTTCTACGCTCGCACTATCAATATTGGATTGGATTGGATATTGGATATTGGACAGATCATATAAACCCCACAAACTAAATTAACGCTCAGCTGCCTATCAAATATATTACAGCTACACCAGGTGAGTAGGTAGACCCACTGCGGTGGAATTCACCGAAGACATGGGACTATCCTAAATGACCTAGAAGTAAACGCGGAGAAGTCAACTGTAAACGACCTCAAGGCTATAGTGTTGAAAAGTTGAGGTTTGTGTCTGAAAAGCCTGTAATGTTCACGACAGTGACGTTCTTTTAACCTTTATATTAACTGCATTCTTCAAAAGCTTATCTTTAGCCCTTTCCCCCTGTAATTTATTGTTTTGGCCAAAACAAAAAGCAAGTTGAACAACTGTTGAACACGTGTTAAATAGTTGCTTCAACAGGACTTGCTGTCCTGAATTTCTTAACGTAAAATTTCCATTATAGTATTAACCATGCATGGCCGAGCGATCATTTGACAATGCTACTTGACGATTGCAAGTACACTTAATACTATGGTACAAGGCTAGCCTGTAAATTTAATAACGTCAGCCAAGTCAGTGATCTTAAACCCTTATCTGCGTAATAACCTAGGACTTGTTTCACGTATTTGATTCAAATTTGTTTTCAGGCCCACCACTTAAAAATGCGGATTACATTTATCCTGGGCCATGACCCCACGTTTCATCTCGAAATGACCCACGTTTTCCGGCTTATCCTTAGGTTTTATTTCACTTAGCCTCGTATCTTTTCTATCATTCTCCCCCTTTTTCAATGGTTTGCCCTTTAATTCATTACTCCAAAAGGGCTATTTTTGCTGCTAACTACTTTGTTTATTCTCGACTTCGTGTGTTAAATTACTATTGGAAAATTGCACGTCGTTCAGTTAGTCATGCCCTACATAAACACATGGGTACCACTAAAACAAGAAAGTAGAGTTTCACACTAAGTATGCGTTTACTATAAGACTTGAAAAAATATGAATTTTTCACAGCAAGGATTCAGTTATCTCTTCAGAACTGCTTTGAATGACTTTGGAGATCAGAACGTGGTGCGAATTACAGTCTTGATGTTCCCCGCTCTTAAAGTGATTTTAACTCTGATAATTAGTCAAGCTCACCTTAGTCGGTAGTCGTCTCCTTATTCTCTCACCTTCCTGCTCTCTTAGGTCGTAGAACCAGACTTTCATTGATTTTCTGTAGTTACTGTCGAAGTTGCTCGCACCTTCAGGTTGCGACAGTTGGAAATTTTTAATTTCTTCTGGGAGATACAAATAGTGTATGCCAGTGACAACTTACTTCGAACGGTCATTCCTATCTGTATTTGTTTGATGCCTTTCTTCGACTTCGTACCACCGCAAGACAGCTAATGGAGTGTTAACAAGTTTAGTCAATATTTAAGCGGGTGAAAATAAGGGGGCATGCTGCAGATTGTAATTGAAAATTTGGGCAAAACGCGCGATTTTGCAATATTTCCTTGAGTTTTGCCCTGTTTTTTCACCCCCGAGTTCTGCCCCCCAAAACGCCCCACTCTTCTCCGTGGGAATGTTGACTGAGGAAATTGCAGTATAGTAGCTGAACATGGATGAGAATATGTACGTATGTATTTACGGATGAACGTTCATCAGCAAGTCATTACAAGCTAAAATGGAAAATGCAACTCTTGTGTACACTGAATTTTCAAATATGCACATAATTGCATTACACCCAGTCAACATTTTTGCTTATTAATATATGGCATTCATATCTACAGATGTATACCTTAAACGTATGAAATCTTCAATATTGTCTACTATAAATAAATCGTGCTAGGTTAGGAGCAATTTAGGAATTCCAATCCAATAACGATGTCAAACCTCACTCGTAAAGCTGGAAAAACTACATGAAGAGACTATGATGATTATCGCAGTTTATCAGTTAGCTCACGACAATAATTATTCGGAAGGCAAATCAGTGTTGAATGTTCCACAATGTTCATCGGTTCACACCACGTATCAGGTACATAAATGCCAGCTCCCGTAGATTTACCGAAAAGCCATCGTCTGCTCAACATCTGTAGATACCAAGCTGAACAAGATCCAACTACCAGCTTTCTCCATCTTTTAAAATTGATAGTGGGGTTAGGTAGGGCTGCATAATTTTGCCATTCTTTAAATTTGCCATTGATGTCAGTCTTGGCGTGGCCCTAAAAGTGATGGATTGCATCTCCTATTAGGAGAAAAACTCGCCCTTGAATATGCGGATGGTATCATCTTGTTGTTTGACAATATACAGGCTACTCAAGTCTCCGCTGATTTATTGGCAACCACTGTTTGTTTGTTTGACATGTGCTTCACGCCATCAAAGTATTTCCACAGAATTAGTAGGAGCTTGTGTCCGAACTCAGCCTTGGTGCACTGTTGGAAGCAGTTGAAAATTCCGTGTCTAAGTATGAGTAATAATGAATCTGTGACTAGACTTTCAATAAAATCAACAGCAGCATGTGCTATCTTGGGTCATTTCTGTTGCCGTCATGATGTTAGCTTCCACCTCCACTACGGTGGTAGTTCCACAACACACGACCTCTGATGCGAAGGAAACTATGGTCGAACACCTAAAACTTCATGTTCTCCAACTTAAGCGGCCATTTTTCAGTGTTCTGCAGTGTCACAGAGCAAACTGATGCGCAGTACACTCGAATCCAAGTGTGCAATTATGTAACAAAGGTGCCAGAGATGACATAAGTTGGCGAAAGCCAAGTGTGCGTTTTTTTATCTATGTAGAGATTTCGTCGGTCACTGACCCACTGTGACTCATCTTTTTTCTCAAGTAAGTTAAGTGATCAACACGCTCAACTACTTAACCCCCTATTAGTAGACAAGGCGTCAACGAAGGCCAGTCTTGTAGCGAAAAAGTTTGCATTTGCATGGTGAAAAACATATCTCAGACATTCAAACTGCCACTCAATTTGTCCAGAAAACTGCATCTTCACGCAATAGGGCTGTCGTTTGCATACTCTAGTTGTACTAAGAGGTCTCCTGTGACAGGGCCAGACAACAAGATCTTTATATACACATCTTTGACAAAGTTAAATAAACATGAAGAGAGCGGACACTCTTGCCAAACACGACTTGACCTACACAATTCATCTCTTACCTCACCGCTCTGTAAGGTACGCTTCGCTTTTGGGATACAAAACATTCAACGGACGTGCGGGGGAGTTACTTAGCTTTTTTTCTTATGAAAAACTTCAATTGATGCAGTCAAATTCCACCCATAACCAGGTTTCAAACCTCTGATTTTCGCAAGTTTGCTGTTTTCGGGCTTTCCTCGAACGTCTGATGATTATAGAACCTAGAGTTTTAGACGCTATGTTAGTTAGACTGAATCCCCTGTTGTTATCACTGGAGTATTTCTCATTCCGTGAAGACTAGGACAGTTAGCTAACACCAGTTAATCTAACCAATTTCCCTCGGCCACCGTCTTTAAATACTTCCAGTCCTATCTATTTTCCTTGATTTATGTTATTCACAGCCTTCTCAAATGCAGCAAAAATTGAGTCCTATAAAACATCCCCCAGGATAGCTGGGGGCCGGTTGAACTGTGTCCTAGTCCTCCCCCTGTAATTACATCTCAGACTCATCCTTCTCCACTGTGGTCTCACTAACCATTGACTTTCCCGCCCCGTTTACCATGTCAACCTAAAGAACTGTTTACGATTACCCGTTACCTCTGCGTTTTCTATCTCTTTAGCCTTCGCTGACCACCGCTACTCTTGGTTGCCTTGTAGACTTCTTGTCAGTTTACATTTCAGTTGCTTCCGCTCTTCATTATGCTCATAGCCTTCAGTAGTACTTTCACCTGTGTCAATTAATTCATAAGGAGCTAACGATATCCATTGGTCCTTTCTAGTCTTTCCTTAAGAGTCAGCTACCGTCTCTAACGCTGTTTGAAAGATTAAAAATGGTACTAGGATTCTTTCGGCTAAGTGACGTTGTCCTATTCCGATTACTATCTTGCCAGTAACTCTTTCAAAGTAGCCTTACGATCTCCATGGTCTTCAAGTCGTAGTTTTTCTGTGTCCATTCAGACCTTCACAGACATGCTTGAAACTGCTTGATCACTGTCCAAACGCGTGTTCTAGAGGGAACGAAAGTCTACCACCGTCTTTCTCTAGTGATAACTGATGACAATATGGTCTATCTATACATATTGTTGAGATCAATCGACATCGCTTCAGACAGTCTTTCTTCTCATCTATCTTTCATGCGAGATGGAAATAGATGCTTGTCTGAACACAATTGTATCAAACAACTACCGTTATCTGTACGTTGAGCTGAAATTCTAAAAGTGCCTTTGAGTAGGGCTTAGCCTTTCTACTTGTGAATCAGAATCGCACTGTATTATAACCACATGTGAACATTTGGCTGTCAGTAGGAGGGTAGACAGTTTTCGGTATAACTCATCAGAACTGAGGTCAGTCGATGCGTAAACAGAGATTACAACGAAACAACGGTGAGTTTCACTACACTTTTAAGTCCTCATTGGACTTTTCAGTCAAACATCATACAGGCGACTGTCAACTGTGCATTTTCTACCTTAAGGTATAACGTCTTACCTACTCTTTTAAGACCCTAAACCTTCAAAAAGTTGAAAAGTGGATTTTGTAGACTCATCATATTTTTCGTCTAAGATCAAATGAATAACCGCACCAGGGTCCTGTATGTGTCTCTGTAATACTGCATATGTCTGTAACCTGAGATATCAGGATTTTGACTAGCGAATCTTGTTGTTGTCACACGTTATAGAGACTGGATGCTCGTGTGTTGTTTAGAGCATAGTTTCAAGAGACCAGAAATACTATTTTGTGGACGCGAATCATTTTCAAGGGCTGTAGAGGCGAAGTAAATTAATGTGGAATTATTAAGAGGGAAAGACTAGGTACCGATATAAGCAGTTGATGGTCGTCTAAATGAACTGGAATGGTATCAAAGATTTCAGGGTGATTGACAGTTCCTGGCTACTCACGCCATACGAAATTGTTGCGTAACAAACAGCAGAACAGATTGTGTTGAATATCAGCTTCAGTATACGTAAAGTGAATTTAATATCGGCGTTGACAATAATATGCAATAATCCACAGACTCTAGTGATTATACACGTGTAAATAGCCATAACCAACTCAATATATCAAACATCTCGCTGTTTTCCATCCTTATTCTTTCCCTTAGTTTGTTTGCGAGTTAAATTTCACTAATTGCATAGATTCTCGGCAAAATATTGTTGCTCATGAGTTCAGTAGTAATTTATTTTCCTCTTTTTTACTCTGAGTTACCTATGTTAAAATGGTCTGTCCGCCATTAAATTCACACAGAGTCAACATTATTTCATTTGTAGAACAAATGGCTACCAGTATAATCATAATTTCCTTGACACTTTCCTTCCATTGTGCAGTGTATTTTCATTTAACTACATGACGGTCTATCCTAGGCACACTGGTTTCAGATCATCAGAATACATCCTCAAATCAGATTTCGTCACATCTGACATCCTATGTAGCTAAGAACTGGTCTATAACTGAACTGTGAACTGATTGTCAGATCTTTGCATGACTTGTAGTTGTGTAGAATTTGAAATAACATTTATGTCCCTCCTTCTTCTCATGACCAGTGTCCACCGTGACTAATAATTTTCACGTATTTAGCTTTCACCTGAACGTATGCATACAATTCTGCTCTTTTTGTGAACGAATGTGTTGATTATAGTTAGATATAAAAAAGTATGACCATTTTTGTGTTTTTAAATCGTTTTGTTTAGTAACTGAATTTTCACGTGGTTAAAGATATCGAAATCAACCTGACTGTTTTATATAGTATTTATCAGTCATCATATTATGACAATAGACGATCCAGACCTTGAGGCTGGGAAGTAAGTAACTGTTATGGTAGTAACGAAATCGTAGGAATATCGATGTCGATGAACTGCTAGCATCATGTATGTTGTATTGTTTACGATTAATTGCGTAAATTAATGAAAAACAGTTACAATAGAGTTACCGGATGAACTTACCGATCCTGAGAAGGCTCTACACAGAGAAATGTTGTTGCTTAAGCAAATGGTACAGCTTATACTTTCCCTTAACAATTTAGAGACGAACACTAAGTGACATTGACTATGAAATTAAAAAATGCGGGCGGAAAGAAGAAAAGTCAAAAGGTATGCTATATGTTTTTCTTATGAGAGTAAAAGCAATGAAACCAAGAGAGAAAGCTAAAGAAGAAGCAATGAAACTCCTTAAATCAGGAGCAATATCAATCGAAAACAAAAACGAACGCCATACATTTAAGCGTAAACCTAAGGTAAGTGGCTCTCAACAGCATAATTTAATTCATTTAGGAAATTGAAGAAGATGAAACACCTGGACCTAATGTAAGTTTAATGAATCAGTACTTAACCCTCAAAATAAGGTAAACTCGAAGGTGAAACAGCCACTTTACCGCAATTTCCTTCCTGGTCCAACGCTCAACCCAGTGCAGTCAAATGAAAAGAAATCAGATGACATAATTAAAATAGAAGTCTCAGAAGCAAATTGTACTCAAGTTGCTGAACCCCCTACAACTAAAAGAAAACAACAGTTTTGCCTACAACCAGATGTTAAAAATTTAGATACGGATCAGGTAATAATCTTACTTGCCTTATTAAAAGGTATCGGACATTTCAGGTGCATGCTCAGTCAGTCAGTTACATTCTCCGAATAGGCCGATGCATCCTACCTTATACGTTGGATATCACAATATCAATGAACCTTTCATTCATGATGTTTTTAAGCCATATGGCAATGTTATAAAGGTTAAGATCGGCGATCCTCCGAAGTATGTTTTTATTTGGATACAATTTTCGTATGTTGACTCGATGATTCTCTTTTTCGCACTACTTTCTGACTTGTGTATTACTGTACAAACTAAAATATGTTCAGTTCATTTTAAGTTTGGTTCGGTAATTCATTCATACGTAGAATTTGATAGACTGATAATATCTCGGTCTCATCACTTTTGCAAACTCATCAGTATTATTCGTTTTTCTACTTATGAAACTACTAACTACACTATCTTTTTACGTAATGTGTTTATCAGTCTATTGTATTCCATGTAAATGTAGACTGGTCTGCAGAATATGAAGGATGAATACTATAAGTAAACATTTGTCCTAATGTTAATGATGGATAGTGGCCAGCAGTGGGATCCAGGACGCGCGTGTCATCCTATTTGGGACTCATCAGCTGGGTGTGCCTGACCCTCTGTGAGTGATGTTGTTTCCACCGGGACTCGAACTGGGGGCCGATCGCTTCAAACGCCTGAACGTTATCCACTAGACCACCGAGCCACGATGGCCAATACTTGTGCGACGGGTATAGTTTTAGTGTTGTTGCTTGCAATATCGAGGCATCCACGGAGGAACCCATATGCCAATAAAGACCGATCAATTCGGTTCAATCAACGACTCATCATCATCATTATCAACATAGGACCAGGCATTACTGCGTAACGGTCGGAGTTGCCACACCTCATATCAGCACATCAAGTAAAAAGGTAGTGAGGCGAAGGATGAAGATAAGTGAATGCAGTCAAAAGAAATATAAAGTACGAGAAGAAAGGAAAGAGGAGTGACAAAATGGTGAGATTCGGTATGACGTTGTTAAGATGAGGATAGTGTGTGTATACATCTGCGCCACTGACTTCGGTTCTGAGCCATATCACCTAGGGTCTCCAACCACTGGTTCCTCTTGTCCCGTGGACCCCAACCACCTAGTCTGCATCGTCCTACATGGCTTAAACCAACAGTCAGAGACTTCATACATTGGTGCCATGTTTTAGTCTGGCCACCTCGGGCCTTTTTCCAGCCTGGACCCACCTCAGCCAACATTGTGTGACGAGGCAATCGGTGACTAGGCATACGTAGTACGTGTCCCAACCAGCTATCTCAGTCAATGAAGGTTCACAACCTTGTCGACTGACTTACCTCTTCTCCCCAAAACTCTACACCTAACTTCTGCATTACTCACGTGGTGACACCACGGAATACGTCCTATACTACGAAGGCAACGGTGGTCAAACACTTGAAGCCTTTTTGTATCCTCCACTTTCAATGGCCATGTTTCACAGCCATACAGTAGAACAGAGCGGACTGCTGTGCAGTACACGCGACCCTTAATAGACAAACGAATATCACGGCGGCGCCAATCAACGACTGGATAATACAAACAACAACACCATTTATCCTAATGCTATTGATACACTGTATTCATTGTTATAATCAAGCTTGTTGTTGTAAATTTTATTTCTAGTATCTCCCTATTTTGACTACCTGTTTTTGTGCTGACAGAATATGCGAAAAGAAGGAAACACTACTTTAGTACGCTCTTTCAATTGATCACTCGTATTATAATTAATTTATGAGGTGTTTAAAATGTTTCACACGAAAACTTACTCGTCATATGTTTCAATCCTAAAATTTTTATGCAGCTTTATGTGGATTATTGTAGGAAGTTATGAACCACATATAATGTAAAGGCGCCTACACTAATGAATGCAGTTCGTTTACCAGGTCCATATTATATCGCGAATTTGTTTAAATAAAAGTGTTTAAACAGGTTTCTTCAACATTTTTCTGAAAGGATGGTAGTTGAATGTTTTGGCAATTGAACCCATTTCTTCTTTCGTTGTTATCTTGTCAACTATACTATCTATAAGATATTCGTTATGGAAGTATCTAATTTTCTCTTCTTTTGAAAGTAATAGCTAATTTACTACAGCCAAGTCTATCCCCAACACACTGTAACAATTTCTGACGGTAAATAACGTACACTGTTCAGAGGTTGGATGGATAATTACTATCAAGTATTCATGTTGTTTCTTTTTTTAACTGCACTATACGGATGTGCTCAGTAAAATTTGAATGTTATGTAAAATTCATCTTTTGATATGCACATGACTTGTTAATTATATTTAGTACATGCATATCACTGACTTCGGCTAATAGACTAGCGTGTTTTAAGTGATGGTTGTTATTTATGAAGTTTAATTGAACTTATATCCTATATATTTTAGTCATGCATATGTTACAATGGCTACAAATCAAATGGCAGAAAATGCATTAAAGGTAAGAGTAATAATTGCTTACATCTTTGGGTTTTAGTTAGATCATCAAATGGTGAGCAATCGTCTTCTGCGTGTCTCATATGCTCGCAGACCTTTTCATCCGAAGCCATTTTCGCCAATGAAGTATAATATGGGTATGTTATCTACTACTTCATTAATCTACACTCCTTGACTCTATACTACTTTCTTACATACATATTTATGAATTATTCATGAAAAACTGTTTATTTTACTTTAGAATGAGTTTCACAGACTTGAGAAATCCCCATCCCAGATTGAAGAAACGATTTATGTACCTTGGACTAGTCAATGTCTAACATTGGAATTCAGTTCTTGATGCCACTTCATTTTAAAAATCAATCTTTTCAGCAAGAAGGCTTTTTTCAGACTTTGAAGATAACCACTTTTTCTCAGTCTGCACCTGTGTAGGCTATCAGAACTCTCGAAAAATTATGGTCGCACAATCAACAAACGATATTACAAGTTTTTCTCTCAACTTACACTTACCTTCAGGGGTGAACCGTTAAACAATCTTGAAATCTGAGTACATGCGTTAAAATTGCTAAGAGGGAGTAACAACACTTACTTTACTCTAAAAAACATCAGAGGTGTATACGTACTCATGTACCGCACTGATCTTACCGCAGTAATGCTCATCTAGCATCACATGCACAATGTTTTGGTATTTGGGGGTATATTTTTAAGCCAACCAGGCCTGGTTTCCAAGTTGAGAATGTTCCATAGCTTTCTGCTCTTTATAATGCGTTTCAACACAGTAATTTGTATTCTAATCTCGGCATAGCAGAGACTGTCATTCTGTATGCTCTTCTGCAGCACTAATTTATTTTTCCTCGACGACTGTATTTTATCAATGCCAAATTTGGTTGACAAAGGCAGTCAGTTTCTGATGTGGGACTGTAGTGATGTGCAAATCGAGTAAAAATTACTGTAACTTTCTCCTGCGTCATAGGTAATACAAGCGGAATGGAGATAGGTGGGTTTTTGAAACGTGCTAGATACAACTACTCCTTTTCCCCGGGTATTTCGTAGCTGTCCGACTTTTTTTCCTTATCTGTAAATTTTATTATTGATTTTCGTATGATGGATCTGAGTGGCTATGTTGCACCAAGTTTGTGTTCGAAATAAAGCCAGATATGTGAGGAAGACCATTTTTCTTTAGTTCAGCACGTTGATCATATTTTTTTTTTATCTAGAGAGCTATTTTAGCCTTAGTGGCACAATACAGATGGCTTAGTAGGCGTTTATCATTAGCATCTATTTATGTTATGTGGGGCGTTGCGTTGTACCTTACTTCGTGATTGGGAGGTTGTCGCCTAAGGTGAGAGATATGAGAACATCATAAGTCTCTAATCGCCAATACTTTCAAGGCGAATGTTTGAAATGTAACTACCTGTTATAACGCTAAATAAACAGACTTTCTGCTCACCTCACTATCTTAATATTGCTATGGTTGGTACTCTTTACACACGCTTATGAGTCACCAACTAAAATGAACTCAAGACGACTTATTATTCACAACCCTTTGACTATCAGTTTTTTCTCCCCTTCCCATTGTAAAATAAGCGACCAAGACTAACGGCTTCCTATCTTCAGTAGTGATAATAATAATAACCTCTTTATCCTAAAGAATTTTGATGCAATTTGGAATTCTCAGTATGTAACATTGCAACAAAAATGTACTCCTTAACAACATTTCCAAGCGTTAAGTATAACAATTTAATTGATGAGAATGATATTAACAACAAGGACACTTATAAATAAATGATGGGGGTATCCAAAAGATTTGTGAATTAATGTTCGTTCTATAGTGTAGTGTATCACACTCAGAAAAATATCTTTAAAACAGTTTTTCCCTCAATAAATTTAAATCAAGCATTAAGGAGATAAATATTGCAAGGTGATATCCTTTTGTAGTTTCTCTACAATTGCATAACAACTGAAATTGTTCACAGTAGTAAATTATTCAAAAATTCCTATTTGAACATTTAGAAAACAAACAATATGAACGGAGAAATATTTCTTTTCAATTGGTTTTTCGTCAGTGGCTCTACACTAATATATAGTATTCTTGTGATATAAAACTACATACTAGTTTAGTGGTGGGAATTGTTTCAAAAGAGGTTATCATCATTATCAAGATCAGCATAGGACCAGGCAGTACTGCGTAACGGTCCAAGTTTGCACGCCTCATATCAGCAAATATGATGTCATTATGTATAGCGGTTAAGATTAGTATAGTGTATGTATATATCTGCGCCACTGACATTGGTTCTGAGTCATATCACCTACAGACTCCAACCACTGGTTTCTCTTGTCCCGTATACCCCAACCGCCTGGCCTTCATAGCCCTACATGGCTGAAACCAACAGTCAAGGGCTTCATGCATTGACGCCATGTTTTAGTCTTGCCGCCCTGACCCTTTTTCCGGCCTGCACATACTTCAGCCAACAGTGTGCGACGATGCAGACGGTGGCTGGATATACGTAACCCATATCCCAGCTATCTCAGTCGATGAAGGTTCACAACCGCATCAACTGTCTTATCTCCTCTCTGAAACTCTTCGCCTGACTTCTGTGTTACTCACGTGGTGATGCTACGAAGGCAACGGTGGTCAAACACCTGAAGCCTTCTCCTGTCTTCTACCTTTAATCCCCATGTTTCACAACCATACAGTAGAACAAAGCGGACAGCTGTGCAGTATACGTGACCCTTAACAGACAATCGGATATCGCGGCGGTGCCACAGGTGGCGTAAGTTGGCGAAAGCCATTCGAGCCTTTTGTATCCGTGCAGAGATCTCGTCGGCCACTGAGCTACCAGGACTGATCCAACTTCTTAGGCAAGTGAAGTGTTCCACACACTCAGTCACTTTACTCCCTATTGTCAGTCGGGGTACCGTTGAAGACCAGTCATGGAGCAACTATTTGCACTTGAGTAGCGAGATACGCATCCCAAACATTCCCAAATTGCCACTTTAGGTGTCCAAAAGACTCTGCAACTTGTCAGCACCTTCACTTAATATGACTATGTTATCTGCGTATTCCAGGTCTACCAGAAGTTCTCCTGTGATCGGGTCAATCACTGTATGGTCAGATAACGAGAGGGAGACCACCATATGAACATCTACGATAGAATTGAATAAGAATAGAGAGAGTGTGCACCCTTGACGGACACTACTCGGTGTACACAACTCACCCATAATCGGCCAATTTCAAAGCTCCGTCCCGATCTTGTTTGCCCTTTACTTAACCATGACGGACGATGTTCTGCGACTCGACGACGGACTTGTCTGACTATACGCCCAATGTAACTAGCTTCATTCTGTATCTATCTAAATTCCCATGTTCCGCTACTCTAACTTACCCCTGCCGGCTAGTTTGAACCATGTACTTCACCTCATAGTCATTACATGGAATTTGGTAGATTAGATTATTTTGATGAATTGGATGAACCGGATCCTTAAACCGGCAAAGCTTATAGCTGAATGAGTTTGTGGGTTTAAATGTCACCTTAATTCTAGTCTTTATGAGAATCTTGTGTAAAGTTTCTGATGTTCCTTTCTTATAGGGTAACACAATGGAGTCTTATTATTTTCCGAACACAATTTTGTGTGTATAAGATAAGCCTGCCTGTAATTCTTTTTTTCTTCTTCAGAAAAGTATCCTTTCTACTTATATATTGAGAAATAACCATCTGATTCTATTTCCTTCAGGTCGATCCTTCCGAAAAGCAGCGTCCTTTGAACATTCTTCAATTGAAGGATCTTCACATAGTCTATCACGTGAACCTAATCGGGATCTGGTCACTTATGAAGATTTGTACTCTGAGAAATGAAATGTACAGCTACCTTAAATACAATTTTCCTGATATTAGTGTGTTTATTCCTCCCTCTGTTTGCATGCTTAAATATTGTGTTAACTATGTTCTCATCTTTTCAATAAACTGGAATAAATAATAACTGGTATGACATGATTATCATTTGTGGTTGATATCTAGGAGAGCTGATTATTTTTTCAATAGGGAAAAATTGGAATTTCTTCAAATCATCGTAGTTTGGAACTGGGAAAATTAGCATATTTTTATGACTTATCAGCATCTAGTCTGCATTCCATTTATGAAGACTTAGTACACCATTATAGATCATGTCACAAGATCGCATTTCTAAGCGACTTCAGCTCTCTTTACTAGTCTTTCTCATCTGATACATTCATCCCTTCTCATCACTTTTTTTTCTCATAGAGCATCTCATCTCATGTCATGTAAAATTACTTATTTGTAGGCTTTTCTGTCCATCACTAAGATACTTCGACGTAAGAGATCCACTAGTCAAGTCAGTAAATGATATTCAGAATTTCGTAGAGGCACTGCATAAGTACTAGTCCCCAGTATTCAGATTCGTTTGGGTAATAGTATTGTTCAGAGGACTTCTTTTAAACTCGAAAAATAAACTGTTAGGACTGAATGAATGAAACCTTGACTGGTTTGAGGTTCAGTTGATGGTAATCCTGCTTACTGGTAATGTTAATTCTTGGATGTACTAATAGTTTAAGCATCCAGATCACAGTTGTTACGAATGTCCTGGAAGAAGTTGTGCACCAAGTCTAGTTTAATTATTATAAGAGTAGACTTTAACATAATTTAACATAATATTTCTGAACGTTTTGCTGTGTAAACCACAGCTTCTTCAGCAGAGCGTACGGATATTTTGATGTTGATGAAAAACCGTATATTCTGTTTAGGAAGCTGTGACTTACACAGCGACAGATTCAAAAAATATTTCCTTTTACCAATAATTTGCACACTATTGCTCATTGTTTTTTATATATAACTCTGAATTGTTAATATGGTATCTTTCCACCTCTCAGTTTGGTTGTGACTGACTATCAATATTCAGTTTTATCATTATCAAAGTGTTTTAGAGCAACAAAGAACTGATTGTCACCATCAATATTTTTAAAAATCTGACAACGATCAGCATCGTGTCTCAGAATTTGTTTATCTCTATTGGGTTAGAATTTCAAAAAGAAACAGCTGCAATCCTACACCAATCTTCTCCAACTATGGCTAACAGTAATACGGTCTATCTATGTTCAGCGTTGATTTGATGTTGGTGGATGCTATTCGAGGCAGCCTATAGTTAGTGTTGGGCGGAAACCAGTGATTGTAGGAATAAAATTACAACAGACGATCACCGTCGTTAGTTCGTTGGCATGGGATGCCGCAGACACCTCTAAGATGCCTTTCTGACTAGCTCAAATTTCCTACTTGAGCGTTAAAGTCACCTGCTACTATTGAAGGAAACGAGAGGACCGAAACAAAGGAAGGAATGTTTATTGTTAACAACTGGTACAGTAGTCGTTAAATTATGGTACACCTTGCACTAAAACCGTCATTTGCAAAATGTGCTTCATTTCCTCTTCTGCTTCTCTCTCGATTTGTTTTTCATAACCCTGCGTTGTGCCTTGCGTTTCTCTTGGCAGAATCCTTACCCATTGCTCGTAATTCCCTATGATTTCTGCCACCTCAACATATACTACTTATATCCGTTCTTATCAGCAACGTCCACTACACTATGACTGCGTCTGACGTTTTCCTTCTGCAAAGGAATCGACAACTTGTCATTGTTATATATTCCGAACGGATATAATACGCATGCTTGACTGACAACTAACTTCGTACGCAACAGCCACCGACTAAAATCCGAGACGAACAGAGAAAAAGATCGAAGCTGGATGGGAGAGTGTATTCCTCCGAGTATAATCAGTTAATTAATTCAAAAACATGTATGTATACACATGAAATATGACCTCGTCCGCAAATTGAGACATTGACATAGTAAGAGTAAGGATTAACCAATCGGCTGTTTACACTACAATGGGGGCAGAAAATAAACTACTAGTCATGTTGTAAAATGGTGTGAAAATGACAAGTTAAGAATGTTCAAACCAATAAGAATGTTTTATGGAAACGAACCGTTTGAGACCGCTCCTGATCCGTACATCAACTAGGGCCTTACAACAATCATAGAATTCATCCTTTGCGTCATTCGAATTACAGTCAGTGGACGCACTGGCGGAGATTATGAATAGGCATCGCCTAGTCTCACGATTCTTCCTAGTCCTTACAGATCTAGTCAGTCGAACAGCGCTTAGACGGTTGAATTAAAGAAGTCAAATGAACACTTATTATCGTAGTCACTCCTTTATTACTGATCTCAAATTTTTCTTATGAAAGTGAACCACTCTTTTGGTCAGTAATGTCGGGATTAAAGTTCAGGATTACAGGCATCATCTGTCTTCTCCAAGTCTTCAAGTGATATCCTCACGTGTGTCTGTTGGCCAACTCTTAAGCTGATGAGCGAAACGCTTCAAATAGTGCTTTTAATTTATTTGTATTTCTTACGTCTGCAAGAATTCAGTCAGTTCATTTGGTTAGAAATAAATTATAATTAAAGTTTACTTAACGAAATCTTAGCAAAACACATTTTTGAAATAGTATTTCATCATGGACTGACATCAGTTGGGGAACCATTGAAAATCTGGGAGTACTGGACAGCTGTTTCGTCCAGATGGATATCAGGAAGCTCTAATGAGAAGCCGTGATCTGTGGGGTCAACCAGTCGGAAATGAAGTGGATGCTAACTGAAGACCTTAGGTGATAATCGTGAATTGACAGAAGTTGGAAATTGCGAACCACTAGAAACCGATCCAGTGGCTGCATGGTTAGCGCGTTCGCCGTGAAACCTGAAGGTCCTGAGTTCGATCCCTAGCCGGGTCGTTGGTGCGTACTGCTGAGTCCCATACTAGGACGGAACAGCTGTCCAGTGCTCCCAGATTTTTAATAGTTCCCCAACTGATGTCAGTCCAAGATTAATACTACTTCTAAATTAAAAATCCCCATTCATCTCAAAAATACATATTTTTGAGTTTAGTGTGGAAACATTAAATCGAGTTATTTATTCATATTCAATTGATACGTTTATATAATTTTACATATTTGTTTACCCACTAAATTAATAATACTCTAAGCATGATTTGAGTTGATAGATGAATCTATTACTGTCTTCACTACCTTATTCTAACGAAATCCTTTCTCTTATTCTAGTTTATGTTCAAATCTGCTACTAATGAATTTCCCAAAGATCCAAAACATATGCTTATTTACCAATCAGTTAACAAATTGAAAACTTTCCGTATTCTTGGTATATTTTGTGCATCACAAGGTGTTATGTGGAGTTGTTTAACCTATGATCATAAATTGTTTGAACCACTCGAAGATAAAATGAATAACAAACTGAAGTCAATCATCTCTCTTCCAGAAAATTCTTGGTACACGAATCTGAAAAAAAATGTACGCGAAAAGTTGTATACGCAACAAACATATCCATATTTAACAGCATTTGCTGGTGAGTAAATGATGAAGTTTTATAATTCTTTCGAAAATACTACTGAAAAACGATAACTGTATAGAATGTCCAGTGATTTTGACAATAGTACTAACTTCAATTGTAATGATTAGCATATTGAAAGCACGTACGTAATTAGCGAGTAAGTCTATGTACTACTAAGTGATTGTTGGATGTTGTGCTACAAATACTCAAACTTAAAGATATCTAGAATTTATAATAGTAATATTTTTCCGAATTATCCGAAAAGATCTTTAATAATTATTAGTATCAAAATATGAAGCATAAAACTATAGTGTTTCTGGCAAGTACTTCATGATTTTTTGGCAATGCTTTAGATTAACTTTTCTATTGTTTATCCTGTTATTTTGTAAGACATCAAAGATAGGTTTACATGTTGCATTCAATGAATTTAAAAGACACCACATGTATTTTGAGGTAGTATTCATTAAGGACTGACATCAGTTGAAGAACCATTGAGAAGAGATATCAGCAGTAGGCAGGTACCCACGACCAAGTTAGGGATTGGATTGAAGACCTTCAGGTTTCAGCTCTTCAATTGATGTCAGTTCGTGATGAATACTACTTCAAAATACATAATAGGTGATAAGTGTAAGTTTACCTAGTGAATACATGTTCCTTGTATCTTTCATATCTTAATAGGTCTACAAAAATGATTGGCTAACAAATCCTATATTATCAATCTGGACATTGAAAGTATATATATATATATATATATATATATATATATATATATATATATATATATATATATATATATATATATATGGTAATTAGCGGCTATTTAAAAGGTTTTAATCTATTCACTAGGTAAATTGTCAGATAAAGGGAGAGTAGAAGATGTGTAAGTTTAACCAGCATAATGAATCTGTAAGAGAATGAATCAAAGACTTAACAAGTACACATAATCTACTTACATTTAGTAACAAAAGATAATCAGTAATATTCATCAGTTCACAACAATAAAACAAATCAAATTGAAAGTAGTGATTAGGATTTTAAAATGTATTACAATATCCTATTCATTTCAGAAATGATGAACTCCTTGCATAAATTTTTTTTTCCCGGGAGAGAACTACTCTGTACAAACTAAATTATTACTTCTACTTAAGGTTTTTCTTAGCTAAAACATTATAATACTTTTCAAGTCGAAAAAGTATAACCAATGTAGGTATTTTGAAACTCTTCTAAAGTACCTGATTTTTTTTAGTGATTGCATCCAGCAGATGGTGGTAAGATATTTAATATAATTGCAGACCTCTTAGTATTCTGAAAACTTTACTAATCTATGTAATTCATGTGGTATCTTTGTAAAATTATCTCCATAGGATATAGACATAATATATATAGATTTTGTTTTTCGTCTATTCTCCACAAAATTTATCTAATTCAAGTTAAGCTATTTTGCATATGAAGTTTCCTTGCTATTACAGAATACAGGTTTATGCAGATATATCTGAATCTCACTTCGTTTATAGTTCATCATATAATCCTTTTGTTTACTTCAGCATATCTTCAAACTGATGTCTTTTGTGATCTTTAGGTGGGATAGACTATATCCTATGAGATGAAAGGTCTGTGAAGTCTAATAAAAATTAGGAGTGCAGAAAACGAATGTCTTCAATTCTGGGACTTTTTAAAAAAAAATTAAGTAAGGCTGCAGAATATTCCTCAATGTTTTTAACGTAACTAATCGCTGTTAGCGAATGTCTTTAGGACAAGTGAATACTAGTTCGTAAGCACACACACACACAATGCCTATGAACATTTTTAAAAGGAATTCTGCTAATAAATATTATCTTGCCAATTTTATTTATCATCATGAAAATTTTTTAGCTATTTCTATGTTTAGTGCGGGATTTTTGGTTCCACGTCGTATAGTCCATTCTATATCATTAATAACTACTAAAACTAACAATGCATCAAAATTTGAGAAATATCTTGAAATCAATACATATGGAGCTTTCGGTATCAGAAATAATGGTAGAACATTTAGAAAATCTTTGGAAAGAATAGAATTACATGGTAAATTATATGATTTTGATTCATCCCACCTGACCTTATGTATTAAAAATCTTCCCATCAGATTTATAATAAATATTAGTGAAGCAGAATACTTAGACGAAAATGAATTGCATTGCTTAATATACGAAACAACACAAAAAAAGAGATGACGATTCAACTCTATCCATTGAATTGCATAAATTCCATGTTTGTATAGCCTAGTAAAATATTGATGATAAGAATTATGTACAATTATGTATCTTTTCATTTGGATAGGATTATATTGTCATTGTATCCATTGATATATTATGTACTGTTTTCGAAATATAGAATTGAGTTCCATCTAATAGGAAATATCTTATATATTTTGACTAAATAATTTACTGAAAAGCAGTACATATTACGCGCTCGTTTGGACACTGTTATATATATATATGACCTTGAATGTTTCTATGTATCTATGTGAATACGTTGAAACAACAACTTGATTGAGGGTTTTAATCTATTATGCGGAAAAATCAAGCAGTATTACTTATTTCCCTGAGTAGGTTGGTCATTGAAACGCTCAGATAATTGTCATATTCATCTACTGATTTTAATCGATAGCCATAAAGTGGTAGTCATTATTTCTTGGCTTGAACTCCACTACATGGAGCTAGAAACTGATAATACTAGCCACTGAAAGTTATCACTCAAGAAACTAACATGAGAGCTTTTAGTACAAGCGTTTTTATATAATACCGTCGTTGATTGGACTGAATTGATCGGTCTCTATTGGCATATAGACTCCTGAGCGGATGCCTCGACATTGCCAGCAATCTGATTATGTTAAGGATGGATCATGGCTAGCAGTGGAATCCAGGATGAGCATTTCGTCCTATTTAGGACTCGTCAGCTGGATGTACCTGCTTCCCAGTGAGTGATGTTGTTCCCACCGGATCAACGACGGTATCATGTAAAAACCCTTATACTAAAAACTATACCCGTCGCACAAGAAGTGGCTCGGTGGTGTAGTGGATAACGCGCTGGCGTTTGAAGCAATCGCTCCCGAGTCCGAATCCCGTTGGGAACAACATCACTCACTGGGATGCAGGCACATCCAGCTGACGAGTCCCAAATAGGACGAAGTGCGCATCCTGGATTCCACTGCTAGCCACGATCCATCTTTAACATGAAAACTTACCTCTCAGCACTTTGTTTTTTAAGGAGTACGATTTTAGTTCGATTAGACTTCGGATAATTCAAAAGTTAAAGATATTCAAAACTTAGTCGAAATTTAAATGTGTGACAGTATTGTATATATTACAAATTAAAATTATAACGCGTCATTGATTCATTGTTTATGTGAGATTTACGATGTTGGCGAATATTCTCTCGAAAACAAGCCGAAGGTGTGACTTATGGAAAAAAACACCTCAATAGGTAAAAAGGAAATTAATGAAGCGATCCTAGGTATAAGGATTATGATGAGCATAATCAAAAGGAGTTGGCGTAATCACGCAGGAGCTTTCTAATACGCCTCTGAATTCAATATGCACTATGCAGTATTTAGCTTGAGTAGTTCATGACGAATTTTCAACTTCCTGGATAGCTTTTAAAGCATCAGTGCGCGATGTGCGGCTTCAACGAAGTTGGTATGATTACCTGGTAACAGATACGACAACAAGTACCTATGAATAGTTGCATCTAAAGTTTCTGTTTCAACAACGTAACTTTCAAAACTCGAGGAAAGGTTCAGTAAGTTCACAAACACTGACCTCTCCCTATGTCTGGTATACAACAACCGAAAAAAGTACTGCAATCTATGGGAAAGAAAAATGTTTTTCCAATTGACGCGGTAAATATGCCTATCTTTTTGATTACGTTACACACGGAAAAAATACTGAAGATCTGCATCCTCAGTGACAGTAAAGGATGCCAATCGGCTACGACTGACTACGTGCTCGTGTAGTTTTCTAGAATTGCCTCAAAAGTGAATGCGAGGGAAAATCCACATACTCATCAAAATTTCACTGAGAGAAGAGGCGATGGGAAATATGGAACACATCTGAATTATATTTAGTCCTTTTTCATACAATATGTAAACGAAATCAACTACATTAAGCACAGTTATACTACATATTAGAAACGGCCATATTCTGTCCAATCTAACCTACATTATCAAGAGCTACTATCATAAACCGAAGAGTTCCAGGGATGATGGTCAGCTGAATAATCTACAATGAAAACATTTAGAATTAACACCATCCAGAGATAGATGTCCACCAACCTTCCAACAAATAGACTTTAAGTAAGGTGTTCAATCATATTGTAAATGTGAACCTCTTATAACGTAGTCCGTTGACGTTTGCATCTCGTCTTCCTTCAAGGAGTTTTTTAAAGATTCCAATGAAGGAAACGCCGTAAGACTAAAACACATCATAAAGATAGATTCGTTTTCAATTAAGACTCCTTGGAACGGTGTTGCCACTCCCAATTAAAATCAGGTAGTTCTTGATCAATTTATTCTGGTTTGTATTACTTTTAAATTTGGTTCTACCAATCAAATGGCCTATTTCTTCGCCAATTTTGATTAGAGATAATTTAGATAGAGACAGTGTTAAACTTGACATCAAAATGTTTCCCTACACCCAGTCAATTGGGCTCCCATGTACCAGATATGAATTAGCAAGCAGTATTGTCTACTGTGAATATTTCATTCTGTCTTTGCTAAAGATGTAGAGGTGTAACATCCGACTTTCTAGAGATCGGTTTGCTATTTGCTGAGGACCTGGTCGAGTCAGAGTACTCAAACAGAATAGTCCTGCACTAATAAAATGCAGAGCATTCTGAATACCTTGACCAGTATCTTATTATGCTTCCTACACACTTTGTATCTATCACGTCTAAAGTGCTGCTGCTGATCATTAGTTGCAAAGTTCTACGCTGACATCAGTCTAACACTAAAAGGGGAACTTTAAAACAGTTGACGTACTTATGAGTAACTACACTATTCAGTTCATTTCTTAAGATACTACAAATTTTCGCGTAGGTTTCCAATTAAACACAAAGTAGTTCACTTCTAGCAGAAGTTGAACTGTCTTAAGACTAATAAGGTGAAAACTAGGAGGAACAATGTTATGACTAAAGCAGTCAAACGACTCCCCGATAATACAGCATAAAGCAGAGGCATTAACTACCGTAGTTTAAGCAAGTAATTGTCTATATGGGCGGGAATATACTTCTCATTCCAACAACAGTTTTCGGGGTATTTAATCAGCTTGTCTAAGGAGAGGATCTCTTTTGATTGCGTTAACCGAATGAACAGGTATATTTCAGCGTATACATTGTTGGTGATTAGTACGTCTAATGACAAACTGTGTAAGTGTATCAAAAAGCCAATACTGTAATTCACTTCGTTTCCTTTTGTTAAATCAGATTATGAATTAACCCTCTTTTTAAAGATGCGAAACAATGATTCTAAGATTTACAATGACAGCGTTCATAAAAATCCATGCTTATATACCGTAATAGCTTGCATACTTGAAGTAAGTTGATCTTTTGCCGCGGAAGAAGCCCCATCAAAACTGTCACATAGGAAAGTTAATGTTCTTGTCTTCAAATCAAGTATATAGAGGTTCTCCATCTTCATGTCTGCCGTGCCCATTTATTTGCAGGCATACATGTGCTCAGGGCAACATATGATGGTGTTCTAAGCAGGCATCACACCTGTTACTAAGTTGAGATGTGTATTACCTTATTCGAACTTTAATTATTACTTACCGTGAAGTTATCAGTTTACGTGGGGTTATCAAGTTACGTTACATTACATAGGAATGTCACGATGATTTAGTCTCCCGGTGTTTGAACAAATAAATCGCAGTCCTTTAAAAACATGTAAAATAAGGATGATGGAATAGTTATCTCTGCCTATCACCTATTGATGCTTTAGTGAAACACTATTGTTTCATTACTTGAAAATATTTACACTAATGAACACTGTAATTTCGATCCCTGTAACAAAGAAGTTTAACTAGCAACTTCCTTATAGAATATTTTCCATAATAACAACAAATAACTTTACAAAAAACAATAAATCATTTCCAGCAGGATCGGGATCTCCATTATTTTTATTACCGTAAATGATACTGATTGAGCGAAGAAATATATTCCTTTTTCAAATTACCAATCACATGGTGATGTTTTAGAAATAATGATGTAAATAATCAGTAGAGTTACTAAAATTGGAAACATGAAGCAAGTTATTCTTAGATAAATGGAGTAATTTTTGATGAGTGTTCAGTTATTCACAATAAGCGATTAAGTAATAAAAAGACAACAAATGAATATTGATAGAAACAAGAGCCAGAAGAGGTGTACAAGGTAATACTAGAAGTTACATCATGTTGACGGCCATGGTAATGAAAGTGGTCGAACAAACTTCTTTTGAACACAAAGCTTAGGTTTGTAAAGGTGAACTGCAATCGCCTCTGTTATGTGAACTAAGCGAGTGCATAATCCATGTGGTAAATTAATTGGAATCTGATGAATAATTTTGAAAGCTTTTCTAGTATTCACTTGATGTCCTGTGTCAACTAGGTGTGCAAGCATTGAGCTCTTTATTGTTCTTATCTGTCCCTTGCTCAACCGTCATGGGTGATGCTCAGAAATTCGTTGGTGGAACTGCCTCATTGTATGCCCAACGTAACTAGCTCCACAGGAGCAGTTGAATTGGTAAATGCACATAAAAGCGGCAGAATCAGGAAATTTGTCTTTATTTCCTGCACCCATAATCGCACGGTTGTAGAAGATGAGATATAATTTAGTGGCTGGAAATGCCTTTTGCAGGGCTTTTCTAACGCTTTATGTGATGATCTCGCTAGCAGTGTCACTCTAAAATTCCAGCTTCAAGAATAATTGCTTCTTAGGAACTTTTGGCGTTCTTGTCTTAACCTTCGTAACATTCATATGCTTAGTTACAAACTTGTCTGGGTAGCCATTCCTACTAAGCAGATCACGGATGATGGCGCACTCTTCCTCCATAACATCATCTGAGCAAATAGCTGTGGTACGGCATGCTAGGCATTTCACAAGGTTCCTTTTGTACTGGATGGGTACGGCGCTAAAGAAGTGCGTGTATTGACCTGATGTTGGTTTTCTATATACACTTCGTCTCTGGATTCCATCTAACCTTCTTACCAACAGAACATCAAGAAATGGTATATTGTTGTTTTTCTTCTCTTCTATTGTGAAGTCGACTACCGGATGAACACTATTGGACTTATCGAGAACAGCATTCTTATCAATCTCGCTTTCGAGAACTATGAAGGTATCATCCATGTAATGACAATATAATTTTAAACGGCTA